CCTCCTCATTTAGCAGGGGGAACGATATCTGATGGCCTCACTGAGGCCGTCAAATAGTGTTTCCCCCTCATTTCGCAGGGGGAACGACATTTGATGGCCTCACTGAAGTTGAGAGATAGGGATGAGCCGGATACTCGTTTCAGACGAGTATCCGGTACGAATAAAGCATTTTTGACGAATACGAGCATGATACGAGTTGAACTTGTAAATGATTGGCCAGTCACATAGAGCGCCCGCCCCTCCCTACACACAAAACTGCAGCCGTCCGGGAGCGCAGTCCGTCCGGCTCATCCACGCACACACACACAGACAGTAACGGATCTCGTTGTGATTGCTTCACTGTTGCTCACGTTTCTTCAGTAGTCCCTAGGTTTTCTTCAGCTCGCCTCTTTTTCGGTTGAATATTTAAAGTTACTTCTTTCGAAACGTACGTGGTGCATTTGACAAGACAGAGATGACATGCTGTGTCAGTCACTACAGTATTTACAGTCAATGGTCACTACCTCCGCTCTGGTCGTTTTTTTTTAACTCCTTCTCTCTCCCTCTCTATCACACACACACACACACACACACACACACACACACACACACACACACACACACACACACACACACACACACACACACACACACACACACACACACATACACACACACACACACGCACACACACACCTTAATCAACATTGTTCTGTTTAACTTTGTGTGGGAAAATGCCAAGAACGTTAAGAAAAAAATCAGTTTAATCAAATTAAAATTAAAAAATATACATATAAAGTTGTGTCTGGTTCTAGTATTTCATATTTCCTAGTTCCTACTGCATGAGTTCAGATGTATTAATCCATGCACTTAAATATTAATGTTCTGATTTTATTGAAAAACTTGTTCTGTTATAGTTCCTTTACTATTGTGATCAAAAATATTTAATCTCAATTCTGTGGCTGCTCTGTAAATAGTTTTCAAATAAACAATACACATATAAACTTCTGATCATTCCATATCAATTTCAGATTTAAAATAATATATTGATGTAAACCACACTCACTTCTGGTTAAACCACGCCCACTTCCGGGTTATGCCACGCCCATTCCGAGTACAGATACAGATAATTTAGTTGGTTGAACAGATACAGATAGTGGTGTACTCGCTCATCCCTATTGAGAGATAACGTTTCCCCCTCATTTTGCAGGGAGAACGACATCTGATGGCCTCATTGAAGCTGTCAAATACTGTTTCCACTTCATTTTCCACGGGGAACGATATTCAATGGCCTCACTGAAGCCGTCAAATAGCGTTTCCTCCTCATTTAGCAGGGGGAACGATATCTGATGGCCTCACTGAGGCCGACAGATAGCGTTTCCCCCTCATTTCGCAGGGGGAAGGATATCTGATGGCCTCACTGAGGCCGACAGATAGCGTTTCCCCCTCATTTCGCAGGGGGAACGACATCTGATGGCCTCACTGAAGTTGAGAGATAATGTTTCCCCTTCATTTCACAGGGGGAACGATATCTGATGGCCTCACTGAGGCCGACAGATAGCGTTTCCCCCTCATTTCGCAGGGGGAACGACATCTGATGGCCTCACTGAAGTTGAGAGATAATGTTTCCCCTTCATTTCACAGGGGGAACGATATCTGATGGCCTCACTGAGGCCGACAGATAGCGTTTCCCCCTCATTTCGCAGGGGGAAGGATATCTGATGGCCTCACTGAGGCCGACAGATAGCGTTTCCCCCTCATTTCGCAGGGGGAACGATATCTGATGGCCTCACTGAAGCCATCAAATAACGTTACCCCTTCATTTCGCAGCGAAAACGAGATCTGATGGCCTCACTGAAGTTGTGAGATAATGTTTCCCCTTCAATTCGCATGGGGAACATTATCTGATGGCCTCACTGAAGCCGTCAAATAGCGTTTCCCCCTCATTTCGCAGGGGGAACGACATCTGATGGCCTCACTGAAGTTGTGAGATAATGTTTCCCCTTCATTTCGCAGGGGGAATGGTAATCTGACATCATGAGTAGTGCACATGTTTACCTTATACTGCCCACAATAAAAGGCCAAGAGACAAAAGTTCACATTTACCTGTCACGTTGTGAGCCAGGAGGAGGTTAGGACCCAAGATGCAGAAAACCCCAGAAGGACAAAGGCAGGTAGAAAAAAAATGTAAAATCCTTTACTTAGGAATAAATGTCCAAATAAATCCAATGAGGGCAGGAAGCCAAAAAACCAATGTCCAAAAATCCTGGAGACGAAAGCTCACTCAAAGAGCACAAACCTAGAGACCTAGTGGAAGCCAAAATACCTCGAGACCTAGAGTGGGGAACGAGACAACGCCGACACAACAACAATGGACCGACAACACACTGAGAAGCAGACAGGGTTGTATACAGAGGGGCTGGGTGATTAAGGGAATTGGACACAGGTGAGACTAATAACAGAGCGGAGGAGCAGAACGGAGCAGGGGAGGAAACCAGACCTAACTGGGGAAGGAAGCAAAAACGAACCAAAGGGAGATACTGACTAAATGATCTAAATATGACGGAAACCTAATGATAAGTGGGGTGACTAAGGGAAACGTGAGGAAAACCTAGAGAGAACCCGAAGGGGGCTGGGGAACACAAGGAGACACATGAGGAACACAAGGAGACACATAAAGGGAGCCTAGAGAGGGATGGGGAACACAAGGAGACACATGAGGAACACAAGGAGACACATAAAGGGAGCCTAGAGAGGGATGGGGAACACAAGGGGACACATGACACAAGGGGACACGAGGGGAATGCAGAACATGACATTACCAATATTTAAATGAAGACCTGAAGAATTAGAACAAGCTCTAATTATGTTGGTAGCATCGTCACGAGAAAGCAATCTTTTAAAAAAAGAGTAGTATCATCCGCCAACTGACTGATAACCATTTCCCTGTCTGCAAATTTTATGCCTGCCAGAGGTGATATAATCACAGAGAAGATGGGCACAGATCAAAAATAAATATGGAGAAATAGGGCAGCCTTGCCAGATACCCCGATTCAAATCGAGTCTAGGAGATGTACCTGTATGTAGATTAATTGAGCAGTTATCATTGCTATATAAGGTTTTAACAGCTTTTATGCCTAATTTTTCCAAAGCCTTAAAAATAAAGCTATGCTCAACAATATCAAATGCCTTACAAAAATCAACAATTAATATTAAATTATCATCCTCACAAAAATCGGAATAATGAATAAATAGAGACCAAGAACAAGCCTAGTGTTGTTGGATATATGTCTTCCAGACATAAAGCCAGTTTGATTTTCATCAAAAATATCATTCAGTACAGCTTTTAATCTTTTGGCAAACATTTGAGCTATAATTTCGTAATCGTTATTAAGAAAGGAAATAGGTCTCCAATTGTCAATAAAAAGAGGATCTTTGTTTGGTTTAGGGATTAAAGTTAACAGACCTTGGGTTAATGTAGTAGGGAGAGACTGGTTGAGAAGACTTTCTGTGTTTACATTTAGAGGAAATGGAGCTAGCTGAGCATAAAACGCAGCGCCCGCTACAGGGTTTCATGTTTACAGCCAGATCTTGAGGAGTTTTTTTTAAAGAATATGTAAACTCATCACTATAATAATCATCTTTTCTTGTTTTGCAACAAACCTGTTGAAATTTCTTTCATAAAATAAACTGAAAAACATCAAATGTGAACTTGTAATAAATCTTGCTGAATTTTATCACACTGTAGACTGACTTTTTATCTGTTGGCTGTTGGGGTTATCTTATTACTAGGCTATCCTATGTCTTCACTTTAGGTTGAGGCTGTTTACATGTTAGAGCACATCTCTCATGATCAGATTAAATGCGTATCATTCATTTAATCAAAAACTAAGGTAAAGCTGATTATGATTTTGACTTGTTTAATCAGTTTTCATTATCCTAGCAAAGAAACAAACCTGATGCACACAGCTGGGCAGAATAGGGCAGTTTCATTAAATTTAATACCCAGGTAAGGCACATATGTTTATCCTATGTACTATAATACTTGAGAGACAAGATATATAAAGTAAGTCCAACAGTTTGATAAATGCAACAAGATTATAAATTCACATTTCACGTATTTCAGTTTTTTATAAAACATAAAATGTTTTGCAAAGCAGGACAGAATGGTTATTATAATGCTAAGTTCACATTTTCTTGACAAAACTCCCCAAAACAGCTTTCTGCTGGTGGCAAAAGGACAGTCTGCACTTGGCGAGGGCGACCAGTTTGCTGCTAAATAAAATAGCCAATCGTAGTACGCCTTTCTAGCCAATCAGAGACGAGAAAGGCGGGATCTTCCTTGGACATCCTGGAATTCTAAATGACGCTCCCCGCAAGAACGAAAATGAATGGAAGTCAGTGGGGCATAGAAATAAATGAATAAATAAATGAATAAATGAATAAATGAATAAATGAATAAATGAATAAATGAATAAATGAATAAATAAAGTCTAATTCCGCTTGTTTTGTGCCATGGATTTCACATATAATGTCCGTGAATTTTAAGTACGTATTTTGATACAAAGAACGCGTTTATTTTCGAATGGAGTAAAACGTTATTTTAGGGTTTGTGTTAAAACCTAAAACTTAAGTCCTGGACTACAAACATGTATCACGGAAGTGACGTTATTGAACAAGACACGGAGAAAAACAGAGGGGAAAATGGCTGCAAGTTTAGTGAAATTAAAATCTTTCCGTCAGGAGGAAAAATAAACAACAATAAATCTGGTCATTTGGTAAGTAGCAGATACGCTAAAGGAGGAGAGATTATGTAGTGACGTCAGATATGCGACGTGCTTTTTGTCTTGTTGTAGTCATGCTAATTACGAACATTTACAAGCTGATAAATCTCAAAGTACGTGACTGGTGTGGTCGAAACACCCATCATTAGTTTTCATTTAAATTGCAGTCCAACATACGTACGATCCAGGGCTTTTAGCCCCGTTTACTTGCATTCATTTTGTCGTTCTTCTTCCGGGGACCCATGAGCCGACCGGAAAAGGAGGTGCCTAAGGCTTTAACTCTACTACCCGGGCTAACGTCAAGCTAACGTTAAAGCTTATCTAATTGCGCGGTCCCTAATGTAAGATAATTTCAGATAGTTTTTAGTAATGAATCCCCACTAAGTAATGTTTTTGTCTGGTTGGTGGGGCAGGTTTTTCATAGAGCCTTTTTTAGGATTCGCACAACCTCCTCTGTGTTCGAACAAGTTAGCTTGATTAGCTGTATCGATAGCTCCGCATTTTCTTCATAAACAAGGTATTTTCCCCAGAACTACTGAGTGCTCTGTGATGTCGCGCTATCATATGTTTAGATTCGTTCTGGTATTTTAATTACATTTTATTTTATGGTATGAAACCTTTCCCTTCTCCTACATGTTTCTGCAGTTGCCATGACAGCAACTGCTGTCATAGGAGACCAGCTGGTCTTTGAAGAAGATTACGATGAGAACTACTCTCCCTCTACCCAAGGTACAGCATCATCATTAGATCACAGCGGCAGTCTGGAATGTAACAAAATGATAATGTTGCTGAGACTTTCCAGTGACATGATACCAAATGTAAACACAGAAGTAAAATGATGAGCTTTTAGTTCCACCCATTCATTTATTTGAATCTACTTATCCGGATTTGGCTTAAGCAGGGAGGCCCAGACTTCCCCCTTTCCAGCCACTTGGGCCAGCTCCTTTGGGGGAATTTCTAAGGCATTGCCTAGCCAGCCGATGAACAATGGCCGTGTTCGAGATGAGTCAGTTCTGTGCAGATTAGATCACTGGTGATCAGTGCACAGTGCATACCAGATTTGTTTCCTATTTGACGCCGAATCGCTCTGACATGATGCCTATGTAGGCAACGATAACCTTGTGAGATCAAGGCGGCCGCAGATTTGGGAGCAAGGCGCTACAGTTGCTCTCCACCGGCTGCAAAACCTAGGGTATGACGGGAAACGCCTGGCTCTCATCTGATCTAAGATCTGATTGGTCCACATTCTGATCCAAACATCCGGTGGTAGAATGTGAAATGTCAGTTGGCCATAGGCCATAACAGGGTTTTCCTGGCTCAAACTGAGGCAGAGGTTGTACCATCCTGACCATGCACCAGCACATGCATACCCTGTGCATTCAACTGCCTCACTTTTTAAAGGCTAAATATTATAAAAGGCTCAATAATATGCGTTAGATTGGTGTTTAGTTCCTTTTTTCCATCTGACATTTATAGTTAAAATATTTTTAAATATTTGACCTACATTTCAGTAACATTTTAGGTTTGTATTAATAACACTCATCTTAGTCTAAATGACACATAAATATATCCAGTAAAATATAATGCATTTCATTAACATACATTTGTGTTGGAAATGGTTATAACATTTAATTTCTCCTGCTCACAATATAATGGTGGCTTGTCTATTATGTACGGGTTAGCAAAAATCCAGTTTAAATTATGTTCAAAGATAGAAGCGTTTGTGAATTATATACTACAACTTCAGGCCTTACATCCTGCTCCTGTGTGCTGCGCTGCAGGATGCAGAATAAACAGGATGGTGGGAACTTCATCTGCTTGTAGAGTTTAGTCTTTCTTAGTTTTACATCATCATATATTTTTCTGTGCACCACTTGATCGTGAGACTGCTACCCGTTAGCTTTAGCATTAGCCAATCTGTGAGTAGCTGCACTTTTGATCCCAAACTTTGGACCGGTTCTACATTTGCTGGTTCCTTTATTTTCCTCCACTGCATCCAGATGACCACACTGTACACCAGTAAAAAGCATTTTTCTTACACGTAACTTACTTTTGTTCAGTAAAGTTCTGGGGAGAATAGTAATTCAAAGACGTTGCACCAGTGATACGTTTAAAAATAGACACGCACAGACACCACTGTACAGCCCTGCTCTGATATGGAAGAGCCTGGGGGTAAATCAGGACAGCAATAGCACCAACCATAGATATGTACCAACTAGCGAGAAAAGCTATTTTTGATCTTCTTTGTCTGCAGCGGTTTTAGCGCTTTTCGGTGCACCGCTGCTGATACAGCGCCCCTGTAGTGGCGCAACGCTGTAACTGCAGTTAAAATGACATCCATATAGAGCTCTGGGAGTTGACGTCACTTCTCCCGGCATGCAACAGTTCAAATCGAAATGGCGCCATCTTGGCAGGTAGAAGCTGGCAGCTGGACTATTTGTTATTGTCAGAAAACTCAATCAGACAGGAAATATGGTAGATTCCTGTTGTGCCCCAGGATGCAGAACAGACGCGGACGACATAAGGAATGAGCCATCTACAGGATTCCCCAAGATCCGGAGCGCCGCAAACGTTGGATCATTGTAATAAAACGCACTAGTGACCGGGTTAAAATGAAGCTGTGGGATCCCGAGAGTAAAGGTTTTCGCTTATGCAGCGACCGCTTCATATCAGGTACTTAAACCAACGTTTCCTCAACTGTGTATGGTATTTATTTTAAATGCTTTTATTACGATTCTTAGTGGGCTTCCTAAACTTATTTAGGCGTGGCTTTTTCTGTCTTATTACTCATAGCAACAAGTAAACGTCACGTAAAATGTTGCCTCGTGAGTTCTGCGTGCTGCCATTTACGTGTTTTATGATCACAGCAATTAACCGGCTCAGCTGTATTTAATTTTTAAGCAATGGTTGATCAATTGTCAGATCACACATAAAAAGCACTTTGGATTGCTATTATCTGTCTCACCGAGACAGATCTCAGACAGATCCTGAGACGCTCCTGCCTGACATTTTTGTTTTATTCACGGAAAAAATCAGACTAGTGATTTCTCTTGGTGTTCAGTTTATACATTCAAACAGCACAGCGCTCTATTTAAACTACTTACAGGTAAATCTATGTTATTTGTCCATCCATCCATTTTCATCCGCTTATCCGGAGTCTGGTTGCGGGGGCAGTAGTCGAGAGGCCCTGACTTCCCTCGCCCCAGCCGCCGGAGCCAGCTCCTCCGGGTAAATCCCAAGGGGTTCCCCGGCCAGGTCCAGTAAGAAGTCCGCTCCGACAGCTTCTGGCGTCGGAGCGGGCAGTAGCGTCGAGAGTTCCAGACCTCTCCCCAGCTCCTCCGGCCGGGGGAATCCCAAGGCGTTCCCCGGCCAGGTCCTGTAAGAAGTCCGCTCCGACTGGCGTTTTTAAAAAGTATCCCAGGGGCACGGTAAGGGTCGGAGATGTTTAGTCTATTTAATTTCTGACTATATAAAACAATTTCTTCGGTTTTAAAGAGTGAAGTAAACTCCGACGAAGTAAAATCCAAGCGGATCTCGTTCACGTTCATGTTTACATCAGTGTTTGTTTAGATAATTTTACCTGCCAATATGGCGTCTACTAACTGAAAGTCACGTGGGGTCCGGAGCTCTATAGCTGGGGGCAGAGTGAAATCGGGCTGGGGCGGCACAAAATTAGATGGAGGCGGTGTCGGTACAGGATCTGCTCGGGTGCAGGATCCAATAATACCTAGCTGCGGACGTAGCCCTGGCCAAACACGCCCCCGGCACACCCCCCACGCCCCCGCCCCCACGATAAAACACGCCCCCCTGTTGAGCTACCCCCGAGCTCAATAACGGCGGCCCTCCCAGCGAACAACACAATTGAAAGAAAATAAATAAAGAAATAGTAATAATGTAATTAAACAGACATGACTCCAGGTTTAAATATGGATTCTTTTGGCCATCCCCAGTGAGATTATAAAACAGATACCACCAACAAATAATCAGTTGCCGTACAATAGGCACAACATACCTATGCTTACTGAAGTTAGCAGGTGAGTAATGCATGTGCAAGTGTTTATTTTAAATGCAATAAAATAAAATATCAGAAAAAGTGATTAGTGGTAATCGTTTAGAGGCAGACCTATTGGCTAGCAGAGATTTCCCCTTTAAACACCAGATGCCATTTTGACCATGCCACCCTCTTCTGCCTCTTTACCTCTGCTGAATCATGACCTCTGACCTGAACCACAACCATGTCAGGCCTGCAGAGCTTTAGATGTTTTTTTGGGGGGTTCAGTTTCTGTAGTGAAGGTGAACATGTTTAACAACACTGTACTAATGGAAACAGTTGAGTAAGCAGTTTTGCTCCCTTTCTTTTGCACGGTGCTGTAATGTAACAGGATAACTGAAGCTTATTTTATGACTCCATGGTCAGGGTTAAGTATTGAGGTACCTCGTTTATTAATTTTAGAGTTCCAGCCTATCTTCTACAGAATTGATCAAATCCATTCATAAATTAGAATTCCTTCAGCTGTTTCCGTACCTCTTTTCTTTCCTTCTGGACAGAAATCCATGAGTATGCTAGAGAGATTGGCATTGACCCCAACAATGAGCCAGAACTCCTGTGGTTGGCCCAGCAGGGCATGCTGGCCCCACTGCCTCCAGAATGGAAGCCATGGTGAGTACAGATCCAGAGGAGCAAGAAGACCACAGTTTATTTTATTTACCTGTGCATGCAATCAGAAGATGACTCAGGTGTTTCTGTATCCTGTGGGGGGATAATAGGCCACAGATCAAGTTAGAGCGATCTGCAGATAAATAAATCTTCTCGTCAGCATCTGTTACTGTTGTTTCTCCTTCTGAAGCAACTCATGGACACGTCAAATAAAAAGGTTAGACCTATTCAGGGCACAGGTGCTGTCATGTCTAGCTCCACTACAATAAAGTATACATTATTTATTGTTATTAATGTTTGACCCTTTTGGGGCTTTTAGAATAGAATAGACTATTAATCCCACACAGTGGAGGAATTCACTTTTTAAGGGAAAAATAGGACAACAACAATACACAACGAATTAGGCTATTACTGTAAGCTTCAGCACAAAGTAAAATGAAAATAGAAAATTAACTTTCCAAGAAGAAAGAGGATAAAGGACAAAGGTACACAAATGTGCATCCAGGTATAGCACAGGTAATGAATCTAGCATTGATGTTATTGTGTAGCAGGATAATGCCAGTACCAGTTAAACAGAGGAGTTATACACTCTTCCTGCAGAGGGGATGAATGACCTACGGTAACGTTCTGCTGGGATGTCTCCGTCTGTCCCTGAAGGAGCTGTCCATGGTTTCCACAGTGTAGCGCAGTGGGTGAGAGGGGCTTTCCCAAGATGGAGCTCATCTTCCCCAGCATCCTCCTTTCACACAAACTAGCTTGTTCAGTCTCTTCCCGCCTTGGTCAGAGCTGCCTGCACCCAAGCAGACCACAGCAGAGTGATGAAATGATTTTAGCAGCTGGGAATTAACACCAACGGACCTCAGCTTCCTCAGGAGGTGGAGGCGGCTTTGGCCCTTCTTATACAGAACACCTGTGTTGTTGGACCAGTTCAGTTGTGAACACCCAGGTACTTAAAGAGCAAGTCACCCCCTACCAGAGTCTAACTCCACTCCCACTTCATGTTTGAAAAATGCAACACATGCTGTTGCCTGGCAGACCGAGAGGGCGGAGCTGCTAACAAATACACACACAGGCTCACAACAGCATTGTGACATCATAATGTACCAGTTTACATCATAGCATACCTCTTAGCCAATAGCGGTGGCAGATTTAAATTAGAATACAGTGCAGAGTTTTTACCTGACAACGGCACAACACTGCCAGTTTTAGGCAGAATATTTAAATTTTAACTAAGATGCACTGAAGTGCCAAATTATTGACGACACGTGTCTGCAGCACGATTAGACACTCGTTTATTTAGTTTATCAGCAAAAAAAAGTTTATTTGGGGGTGACTTGCTCTTTAAAGGTTTCCACCACCTCAATGTCTGCTCCCTGGATGTTTACTGGAGAGTGAGGAAGAGTGTTTCCCTGGAAGTCAGTCACCATTTTCTTTGTCTTACTGCTGTTCAAGCGAAGGTGGTTACGCTCACAGTCTACAAGGTCCCTGATGACTGACCTGTACTCCTGGTCATTCCCCTCATACACACATGATTAATGACCCCTCCTCCCCTCTCAAAGCCAGGATGTGACAGGCGACATCTATTATTTCAACTTCTCCACCGGCCAGTCCATCTGGGACCACCCCTGTGACGAGCACTACCGCAGCCTGGTGATCCAGGAGCGTGAGCGCTTGCAGCTCACAGCTGCCGCTGCAGGTAGAGCGAAGAAGGACAAGAAGCAGAAGAAAGAAAAAAAGGGAAAAAAAGAAAAGAAGAAGGAGCAGCTAAAGACTCCATCCGTAAGGGATTTTTATTTAACTTTTATTATAGTTTTAGGGCTGGGCGATACGGCCTAAAAATAAAATCTCCCATTTTATTTTTTTATTCAATTTGCAATTTTTTCCCATTCTTTCTCCCCCTCAGTTACTGAGATTAGCAATAACAGGGTATCTGCGGGTCCTTAAAAAGTCTTAAAAAGTCTTAAATTTGCTTTTCCAAATTTAAGGCCTTGAAAATCCTTAAAAATGACAAATAATCCTTAAATCCAGTTTCCAAAGGTCTTAAATGATCAAAGACCAAATAAACAAGATTATTTTATTTCTATAAATTTTTCGTGAATTTCTAGTGTTCAGCATTTTTTGTGTACGATGTTGCCGTAAGCGGAACCGTACACATTCAGTTGGTTGTGAAAGGGGGCTGTTTTTAGATGAGCACATTAGCTGGTTAAGCTAGTGGGAGCTTGCGCCATGGGGAAGTGCAAGTTTAATGGTAACTGGATGGCTAATCCCACGTTCGCGACGTGGTTAGCACCGGTTCCAGGCAATAGCTGGAAATTATAGCTTAAATTTAATTAAAAAAATAGCTTAAATTTGGTCAAAGTGGCCTTAAAAAGGTCTTAAAAAGTCTTAAATTTGGCTCCTTTAAACCTGCAGATACCCTGAATAAGAACAAATGGAAGGCACCTTAAAGCCAATCACATGCAAGACACATGTAACCCTCATTTGTGAGATGAATAATGAATAAATGAACACCCTCTTGGAATAAAAGTGCCACGCTCCACGTCTGTCGCAGCAAACCCAAACCAGTTCCTAACAACGGATGATTTCATTCCTTCCTTAGGAACAAACTTCCCACTCTCAGGGGTGGCCACGGAGTCGTTTGCTGTTGCCGTTTCGTGTGCGTGCTGTGAAGTTGTCGCGGTTATGTGAAACGAACGCCACGGAAGCTCTGGAGGACCAAAAAGGCGCTTTTACATAAAAATTCGATTTACTTTTTTTTTTTTCAATCGCCAGCAACAAAAAATTTGAATTAATTCATTAAATCGACTTATCGCCCAGGCCTATATAGCTGTTATCCCAACAGTTACAAAAAGACTCTCTGTCTTTCATGGTAATTCACACATTTATAGAATTATAATTAATGTACAAGTTGAATGCAAACAGAAAAATGCTGCTTCTGTTGCAAAGTTTATGAAAGTTACAGAAAATAATGTAACTTTATTATGTTGTATTTTAACATCATAGTTTGCGTTTGCAGCCAAACAAGCAGCTGTTCCTCTGTAATGAACCCAGAACAACAAGAATAACACTGTTTTTCTGTCAGCATCAGCTAGGCTCCAACTTTATAACCAGAGAAACCAGCGCAGTGATAAAATAAATGGAACAAATATGGTTTTTAGAGTAAGAATTCCCTACAATATCCTTGGTTAAGGTGCACCTGTTATCTGGTGATCTAACGCTTGGCATTAAAATTCCAGTCTTAGATTCTACATCCTTGTGTCTTTAAACTGTGACTAGTGGCATTCTAGATCACAGAAGCTAGGTGCTCAAATGGAGTCATGACATGACTGAATAGAAGGTATAGCTAACAAACAGAACATTTTGGAGTTTGATTTATTTTTTAAAACTAATAACCCCTGTGTAGCGATGGCTGCCTGTCAGAGCCGGTGTCGGTGCAGGACCTGCTCGGGTGCAGGATCGGCTCGGGGTCCTTCGACTGCCGATGACGTCAAAGTATTTGATTGGCTGAACATGAAGCTTACAGAAGTTACGTTCTCTCATCATGATTTTGATTGGTCAGAACAAATTTGCGGTCGTAGTCCTGTAGTCCAAAAATCAACACTTTTGGGAGAAAATGTGTTTGAATTTCTAAAGGAAATGTAAAATATCAGCAAATGATAAACGGTGACCCTCAAAAGCTCTTGATGTTGATGAAATGGGGCAAAATTAAATATAAGAACCTTCTTGAAAGACACCGAGCAACATTTTGAGTCAAAGAATGTATTTAGATGACAACTAAGGAAATATAAAGACGAACTCCACATTAATACAAACAGATGTGGCTTCACATATAAGAACTGTTCTATTTTTTGTCAGTCCGATGTTGGTTTTATGCAGTTTCACATTCTTTACAAAACAAAGATAATATGGTCTTTTATTAACAAATTACAATTATAAAGAAATCATTTAGGTGTTAACAAACAATAATTTATTAACAAAACTGCTGATGTCTTTCCAAAACGTGTGTGAAAGCTGAGTAGAGTTGCAGTCGTGTGACGTCATCAGCAGGCGCTGGACCCCGGGCCGATCCAGCACCCGAGCAGATCCTGTACCGACACAGGGACAGTCATCTTTTCTAAATAAGCCGATGAGATTTAACTCCTCCCTTCCTGCAGCGTCGCAGCTGTCTGCTCCACTACAGCCAGATTATCATTTTGAGTTGATGGTTCAGTTTCTAGGGGATAGGGGAAAGCTAACTCCTAACTGTCTCTGCTCCTGCAGACGTTGACTTCACCTTTAGGTCCAATAACATCTCCACTTGGCAGCTTGGGGCTTCTGAGAGGTATTGGTGCTCTGGGGCAAAACCCACTTCCTGGATCTGCTTCACTTCTCAGGGGGTCCTGTGACAGCTCTGGGGGTCTGGAGCCTCTGAAGACATCCCTCCCAGTAAGAACCAGTTCAGACTCTACTGCTGTAACAAAAGTGGTTTTCAGTTATGGTTTTCTTTGAACTTCATCTTTCATCAGAGTCCTCGAGGCAGAGGAGCATCAAGTCTAGTAGGCACGAGGCAAGAGGAGAGAGTGTTGCTGGCTTTGCCTGGTTTACACGATGAAGATGATGAGAAAGAAGAAGAGAAAGTATCAGAAAGCGAGGTTAGTTAGCTTATCTTTCTGTTGCTTGCAGAAAGGCACAAAATAAATATGTTTTGGATTACAGCCAAGTCCTCGTGGATCAGACAGACTCCTGAACAACCTGCACCTGGACCTGGACACCCTTGGAGGAGGCCTTCAATATGAGGTAGAGCAGTTCAGCTCAGTATCGTAACCAAAAACGCATCTCTGGGTGGGCCGAATGAAAAATGGGTTGGCCCTATAAATGTGTGCATACATATACACATATATATGTATATATATGTGTATATGTATATATATGTGTATATGTATATATATGCATATATGCATATATATACATATACACATATATATACATGTATATATATGTATGTATGTATGTGTATGTATATACACAAGTGTATGTATGTATATATACATACACATGTGTATATACATACACACACGTGCATGTATGTATATATATATATATACATACACATATATACATACATACATATATATGTATTATGTACATATATGTACATATATATGTATATATATGTATGTATGTATGTATGTATGTGTATGTATATACACATGTGTATGTATGTATATATACATACACATGTGTATATACATACACACACATGTGCATGTATGTATATATATATATACATACACACACACACACACACACACATATATATATATATATATATATATATATATATATATATATATATATATATATATAGAGCTCCGGACCCCACGTGACTCTCAGTTAGTAGACGCCATATTGGCAGGCAAAAAAGGTAAACAAACACGGATCGTAAACGTGAACATGAACGGGATCGGCTTGGATTTTACTTTGTCTGAGTTTACTTCACACTTTAAAACTGAAGAAATCGTTTTATATAGTCAGAAATTAAATAGACTAAACATCTCCGACCCTTACCGTGCCCCTGGGATACTTTTTAAATACGCCAGAAGCTGTCGGAGCGGACTTCTTATCGGACCTGGCCGGGGAACCCCTTGGGATTCCCCCGGAGGAGCTGGCCCAAGTGGCTGGGGAGAGGGAAGTCAGGGCCTCTCGACGCTACTGCCCCCGCAACCCGACTCCAGATACGCGGATGAAAATGGATGGATGGACAAATAACATAGATTTACCTGTAAGTAGTTTAAACAGAGTGCTGTGCTGTTTGAATGTATAAACTGAACACCAAGAGAAATCACTAGTCTGATTTTTTTCTGTGAATAAAATAAAAATGTCAGGCAGGAGCATCTCAGGATCTGTCTGAGATCTGTCTCGGTGAGACAGATAATAGCAATCCAAAGTGCTTTTTATGTGTGATCTGACAATTGATCAACCATTGCTTAAAAATTAAATACTGCTTAGCCGGTTAATTGCTGTGATCATAAAACACGTAAACGGCAGCACACAGTACTCACGAGGCAACGTTTTACGTGACGTTTACTTGTTGCTATGAGTAATAAGACAGAAAAAGCCACTCCAAAATAAGTTTAGGAAGCCCACTAAGAATCGTAATAAAAGTATTTAAAATAAATACCATACACAGTTGAGGAAACGTTGGTTTAAATACCTGATAGGAAGCGGTTGCTGCATAAGCGAAAACCTTTACTCTCGGGATCCCACAGCTTCATTTTAACCCGGTCACTAGCGCATTTTATTACAATGATCCAACGTTTGCGGCACTCCGGATCTTGGGGAATCCTGTAGATGGCTCATTCCTTATGTCGTCCGTGTCTGTTCTGCATCCTGGGGCACAACAGGAATCTACCATATTTCCTGTTTGACTGAGTTTTCTGACAATAACTAATAGTCCAGCTGCCAGCTTCTGCCTGCCAAGATGGCGCCGTTTCGATTTGAACTGTTGCATGCCGGGAGAAGTGACGTCAATTCCCGGAGCTCTCTCTCTCTCTCTCTCTCTCTCTCTCTCTCTCTCTCTCTCTCTCTCTCTCTCTCTCCTCCCTCCCTCCCTCCCTCCCTCCCTCCCTCTCTCTCTCTCTCTCTCTCTCTCTCTCTCTCTCTCTATATATATATATATATATATGTGTGTGTGTGTGTGTAAATATGTATATATATATACATATGTATATATATAAATAAATAAATATATGTAAGTAAAAGTTACAGTTTTAGATCTATTTAAGCTTGTTTTTAATTAATTTTACACTACAATAATCATCCCATTGAAAATGTATCCATACTTTTTGTTGCTATTTTTTCATTCTTAATGTAGAAACAAATGTGTGTTTATTAAAAAATGACAACAAATCCATTATAGTAGATATTTAGGGGAGAAAAAAAAACTTCACTGACTTGAATCTCTGAAAAAACAACCCATCTAATCTAGTAATAGTTCCTCTTGTCCTCAGAGTTCTGAGAATAATTAATGAAGGCTGCCATTTACTTCTCTCAGGGTTTCCTCCATGTGCTTTAAAAGAGTTTCGCTTGTTTGCATCTGAAACAACAAGCGCAGCACCTTGTCTGTGTTAGAATGGACTTGTCTAATTACTGGGAAACCTGCTGCTGACCAACATGTTTTATGCGACTGATTGTCTGCTCCGTATCACATCAGACTCCTCACTCTCAGTCTCCCTGAACACGTTTAGCCCAGGAGTTTATTTTAGCACAATTTTCTCCTCCGTGCTCACCTGTCCTCCGAGCTGAGTGACGCTTCTGCTTTGGTGGATCGGGTGTGCGCTCCAAGCACTTCGGACCTGCGGTAAAGTCCCGCCTCCTAGTTCGATTGATAGTAACTTTCTCCACACAGTTTATGTAAGATTGAAACTGAAATTGGGGGGCTGTCCCGCACAATGCGAGAGAGAGCCTTGTCAACCAACACAGCCCCACAGAACCTTAATGAACTTCAGGATGTATCTTTTTCACCCGAGGGTCCTTGCCAAGAGCAGCTTTTTGACCACCTCAGAGATCTCAGTATCAGATTGTAGAGCCCAACCCAAAGTCCACAGACTCCACTTACTTGCTGGAAGACATGCCGGTGGGATTGAGGAGGTCTTCACCGTACTCCGCTCACTGATCCACTATGGCCTGGGTCAAAGTCATGTGCACACCTTTCCCACTATAAAGTGTTGGTAGCGCACTATTTACCCCTCCTGAGGCGCTGAATCGTGGACCACAATCAGCTCGAAGCCCTCGTTCCATGGTTTTACCAAAGTCTTCCCACACTCAGGTTTTTGCCTTCGCAACCACTTGAGCTGCATTCCACTTGGACTGTCGGGATTTATCAGCTGCCTTTGGAGTCCCACTGGTAAAAAAAAACCAATAGGACTATTTCTTCAGGTTCAGCATACCTAGCCGCCGGTGTCCACCATTGGGTTTGGAGGCTGCCACCACGACAGGCACCGACGAGCCCGTGGCCGCAGCTGTTAACCACATAGACAATGGAAGCACGGAACATGGCCCACTCACCCAATGCCCCTAACCTCCCCCGCGGATGTGTTTGAAATTTTGTTGGAGGTGGGAACTGAAGCTCCTTCTGACAGGAGACTCTACCAGACCTTCTCAGCAGACCCTCACAATAGCTTTAGGCCTGTCAGGTCTGTCCAGCATCCTCCTCCACCATTGAAGCCAACTCACCACCAGGTAGTGGTCAGCTGACAGCTCAGCCCTTCTCTTCACCTGAGTGTTCAACACATGCGACCGCATATCAAATGACCCGACAACAAAGTAGATTGTCGAACTGTAGCCTAAAGCCGGGCGGACACTGTGCGACTTTTTCACTCGTAGCACTCAGCTTCAGCTCAAACTGTATGACTTCCTCGCAGGACAGATCTCACGAGTCCTGTGCTCACACTGTACGACCCAGTTCTCGGATGCGACCTGACTGCTCACACTGTACATCTGGTAGCAACACGTCGGACCTAAAAATAGGCTAAAAATTGCAGTTTTTACACAACATATTAGACTTTTTTGTCTTGTTTTGCCTGTTCGATACAGTGGATCATGAAATTCTTATTAAAAAACTTAGTAAATACACATCACAGGTATGGCCCTAAAATGGATAATAAGTTATCTTACCGATAGGCAGCAGTATGTTCAAATAAACAATACAAAATCACATATAAATAACATTACTTGTGGTGTACCACACGGGTTGATATTGGGCCCTAAACTATTTATCATTTGTATAAATGACATTGTTGAGATATCCAATATATTAAAATGCACCTTATTTGCAGATGATACAACTTTTTACTATTCAGGAGATAATGTTGAGCAGATGATAGAAGTGATGCAAACAGAGATGAAAAAAAAAATGTAACTATGGTTTGATGGGAACAAACTATCATTAAACAGTGATAAATCATGTTTTATGATATTTACTAATACATATTCAAACGATGAAATTTTATTAAATATAGATGAGATTAATATTAAAAGAGTAAAAGAAGTCAAATATCTGGGAGTCATCATTGAAAAAAATGTCTTGAAAGCTGCATATAAACAGTGTCAAAACTAAAATATCTAAAACTATCGCACTGTTACATAGAGCAAAAGGGTTACTTGATAATAATTCACTATATTTGTTATATAACTCACTGATCATACCATACATGAACTACTGCATTGAATTCTGGGGAACAACATATAAAACTTACACAAATTCCATTTACATCTTACAGAAAAAAGCAATAAGAATAATCACAAGGAGCAACTACAGAGATCCGTCCAATCCATTATTTATAAAATTAAAAACACTAAAATTCTATGATCTGGTGGACTACAATATTTTAAAATGTATGTATAATGCAAACAAAAGGAACGCACCTGCAGGTTTAATCAAAAGATTTACAAAAAGACATAGCAATTATGATTTAAAAGGACATGAATTATTTAATATACCTAGACACATCATAACAACAGTCCTAGAGCACCGGTCATTCTTGGATTCTCCAGAACTCAGATTGCCAGTCCACTTCTGCCCCGTCTATAACCTTCACTCTTTCACTCCAAAGGTCCAACAACATGAGCACTTTTGACTCCGATGGTCAGTGCCACCCCAAATGTTACAACAGGGTGTGCTTTGTAGCCTACCTGTGTTATGAGTGTTAAAGAGAAAATGACAGGGAAAGAAACAATGTTTAATATCATTTTTGTTGCTGGAAATAACACAAAAGCATTGTTTGTACCATCTGTCAGTCAGCTGATGGTTTCACATATGAAGGGGTGTCCCCATCACTAGTGCTGCAGGAGCACATCTGCACACCGCTTAGGGCAGGCTGTTTAAACACTTATTAGGAAGATATATCTTCAGAATATCTAAAAATCTATTGTTTCTATTAAAAAACATTTGTCCTGCAGCGCTCCTCCGTGAGAGTGGGGGGTGGGTTGCACGCTCCTCTGTGAGAGCGGGGGTGGAGGTGGGGTGTTTGCACATGTTCCGCTGCTGCTTCTCACCAGTATCAGCTGATGGAGGGCTCTAGTTTCGTTGCGCCGTTTGTGTCAGCGGACACGGTAGGGTCCGGGAGGGGGGCGGGGAATGACGCTTAGCCTGGCGGGTGAGCAAGCAAAGTCTGGCGGTCCGCCAGACTTATAAAGCTGTAGGGGAAACCCTGGTGTATGAGGTTGAGAGATTCCAGCTTGATATAGTTGGTCTCACCTGGATGCATGGCTCTGGCTCAGGAACAAGTCTCCTTCATTGGGGTTGGACACTACCGCTCTAGAGTTTCCCTAACTGAGAGGCGCTGTGCAGGGGTGGGCAAACTCCTGCTTGATCCCCATCTTGGTGCCTGTATCTTGGGGTCTACCCCAGTGAGTGAGTCAGTAGCCTCCCTCCGCCTACATGTGGGAGGATGGGTCTTTACTATCTGTGCTTTTGCACCAAGCTGCAGGTCAGACTACCCACAGTTTTTGGAGTCCATGGAGAGTGTGCTGGAGAGTGATCCTTCCAGGGACTCCTTTGTTCTTATAGAGGACTTTCATGCTCACATGGGCAACGACAGTGAGACCTAAAAATGTGTGGTTGGGAGGAATGGCCCTCCTGATCTGAATCTGAGCAGTGTTTTGTTATACTTATGTGCTCGTCATGGATTTTCCATAATGAACACCATGCTCAAGCAGAAAGGCGTTCATGTGTGCTCTTGGCACCAGGATACCTTAGGAGTCAGTTCGACAACCTACTTTGTTGTTGTGTCATCTGATCTGCGGCCGCATGTCTTGAACACTCAGGTGAAGAGAGGGGCGGAGCTGTCAGCTGACCACTACCTGGTGGTGAGCAAGCAGTGCGGGCATCGTCTGGCCTACGCCAGCTGATGCCACCACACCACCCCACTTGCACCCACAGCCTTCTGTGTCTAAGTGCAGTTTAAATTTGGAATTGGGCACTGGCACTCAGGTTGAGGCTGAAAAATCTCCTTGCCAAATGAATGTGCTCACTCCCAAGGCCCTGTGTGTGTGTTTGCGTGGAATGTTGTTGGTGGAAGTGTTTAAGTTGCAAATAAAATTGGGGGGCAGGTTGCCACAGGAATGTGGAAATGGGTCCATGCCCTCACCCCCTGACTTGTTCATCCCCCAAGGTCCTATGTGTATGTTTGTGTGATGATGTGAGGGAGCAGGAGGAGAGAAATGTGTGGGGATGGGGAGGAATGGCTGGTTGGCCTAAGCCCTCCAAGGAGCCAGCTCCCCCACTAGCCACAAAAGGCACCTCTGTTGCCAAAATGCCACCCAGGGCATGGAGACCCCAGCCCATCTTGCCAGGGTCCAAAGCAGCAGCATCGCAGAGCCTCACAGAGTCCGAGGGCACCAACCCAGCCCCATCCCAGCAGAATATCTAATCCCATCCCTGCACTTGCACAACTTCCGGATTATAAAAGACATGGGACATCCAAGTAAGGTTGGGTCCTCCCCCTTCTGGACATCCCCCTCCCCTGTGATGGGACAGCAGATGAGCCAAGGTTTACCTGAGGCCCCTGAGCCCGGGCCAGGCACTGCCACATGTTCCCGCCTTCTTCCCAGCAGTATACATGTCAGGACCCGACCCCCAAGGCCCTGCCCAGATCCCCACACCCCGAACCCCCAGGTCCCCACCCAGACCTGCTCAGGGGCAATGTAGCTTCCAGACAGTGACCCATGGCCACTGCCAAGACCTCCATGGGGCCCCACTCACAACCGCCAGTAGTCCACCCCCCAAGGCAGCCCAAGCACCTCCAGAGGGGGGCAGCAGCCCCCCAGTCCCAGACACCCTCAGTGAACCCACCTCCAGGGAACGTCCGGATACTCCAAACTCAGACCCTCCACCCCCTCACCCACATCATAAGATAAAAGTCTAAGAGGGTCAGATCAGGAGACCTTGGGGGCCATTCAACTGGCCCATGACGACCAATCCACTTTCCAGGAAACTGTTCATCTAGGAATGCTCTGACCTGACACCCATAATGTGGTGGTGCACCATCTTGCTGGAAAAACTCGGGGGAACATGCCAGCTTCAGTGCATGAAGAGGGAATCACATCATCATGTAGCAATTTCAAATATCCAGTGGCCTTGAGGTTCCCATTGATGAAGAATGGCTCCACTATCTTTGGACCATACCACACCATACCATCACTTTTATGTTCCAACAGTCTTGGAGGAATCTATTCAATGTGGGTTAGTGTCAGACCAATAGCGGTGGTTTTGTTTAATTTCACCACTCACATAAAAGTTTGCCTCAGCCCTGAACAAAATCTTCTGCGTGAACTGAGGTTCCTGTTCCATTTTTTGTTTTGCCCATTCTGCAAATTCTGTGTGCCGATCTGGGTCATCTGCAGTAGCTGGAGTTTTTAAGGGTGCCATTTGTGAGTAGCTAATAATTGCCGAAGGGATGTTCGACTAATGCCACTCTCCAGTGACATGCTACGAGTGCTAACCTGTGGGCTCTTGCTGAATGAAGCAAGGACAGCCACTGATGTTTCTTCATCAGTGACAGTTTTCATGTGTCCAAATTTTGGCAAATCCAACACTGAACCAGTTTCACGAAACTTAGCAAGCAGTTTGCTAACTGTAGCATGGGAGATGGGTGGTCTTGTAGGGTGTCTTGGATTGAAATCTGCTGCAATGACCCAGTTACTGCGTTCACCAGATATCAACGGTTTTGATCCGCTCCTCACGTGTTAACCTCTTTCACGTCAATGGCTGTGAGCAAAGAGGACGTTAATATCACCAACCGTTCCCATTTTATTCAGTATTTTAATCCTTCTGATTGACGTCCATGTACACATCCATTTGGATTGTTGGAGTAAAAGAATGCCCACTGCATGTGTAGAACTACAGCACAACATCTTTCTGCCTTTGCAGATGCTCAGGGCAAGTCTGAGGAGCTGTAGGACTGTGTGAGCAGGTGATCATTAATATGTTATCCTGCTGTCCTTTCCTGTGGCGGAGGAGCAGTAGCGCTACGAACAGCTGAGCCTGTATCTTACTTAAAGTGATCAGTAAAAACAAAAGCATACACGTAACAATGCGAAGAATCACGGGGGAAAATGATGTAAATCAGCGGACAACCTTAGAGAATAAGAAAATAAAATGCGAGGGGAAAGACTTGCGGACACGATGACATTTGTTTACAATTTTTTTCCGCATGCTGCCCATGCTCAAACTATTTAATTTGACGGAATGCTTGTATGTATACTCACGGCATGATAATTCCAGTTAGTGCCCATATAAAAAGAGATTTGGGATTTCAGGTCAACCAAGATCTGAATCGGACTGGGGAAATTTGGCGCATGTAAACATAGCCAATGCTATATAAGGCTGGGTCTACACATAGATAATTCAATTCAATTCAAGTTTATTTATATAGTGCCAAATCACAACAAGTCGTCTAAAGACACTTCATAAAGTAAACGAGAAACCCTGACTGTAGTTTATTTTCTGTTTTCACTTGTTTTTCTTCGAACTCCCAACACACAATCACACACTTTCACAGACACGCACACACACACACTGATGCAGTGGGCGGGGAAAACTGTTTTTTTTAAAATAATTGTTATGCATGTTTTAGTTGGCCAGTCCTTGGGTCTCCTTGGACATTTTAAGCGGCAAAAAAATGTATATGCTTTATCGAGGCTGAAAGATGTTTTTTAGATTTCTGATTGACTGCAATCTAGGTTTACTTTAATAATGCACTAATCAAAGTTAATAAAGGGAAACTTACTGTAAAGTGTTACCGATCGTTACATTTTCCAAAAGTTGACCATTGTGTGTGTGTGTGTGTGTGTGTGTGTGTGTGTACATGTGTGTGTGTGTGCGCGTGTGTGTGTGCACGCGCTTTAGGACAGTGAGGTCAGTGAAGCAGGTCCAGCTGAGGAGAGGACTGAACCAGAGCTCCAGGATCTGGTTCTGTCTGGAGACCACAGCCCAGAATCGCCATCTCATCAGGTACACACACACACACACACACACACACACACGTGCACACACGTGCACACCACACACACACACACACACACACACACACACACACACACACACACACACACACACACACACACACACACACACACACACACACACACACACACTCTGAATGTTTTTATATTACTGTAGGGTTCATCTGGGTCATGTGGGGGTATGTCTGATAAAAACTTGGACATTCTAGATTTTACTGACTATTATTTATGCATCATAACAATGGTGGCCTTTTCCTGCCATCTTTGTGGTTTCTAAACCATCTTTTTCCCTTTTTCTGTGTCTGTTGTGACCCTTTGACCTTTGCTCTGGCGCCCCTGTGTGTTGATGCAGCTGCTGTGCTGCTGGGACCTGACCTACATGCACGGCTGTTACTGTGCCTTCCTCTTTGTCCTGCTGTCTTCTTTCTGTCACTGTTATTGCTTTGCTGTCTGAACTGACCCCCCCCCCCCCCCCCCCCCCCAAGCATGGGAGGATGTCACCCTTAAAACGGTAGTAGTGGTTTCTGCTGATGTGTTTAATGATTTACCCGAAGACAACGTTGCCCTCTACTGCTTGTGTCCTCCTTGCTGATTACACTGTCCAATGTGAATACTCCATCGTCTCTGTAGCTGTGGAGATGTCCAAAGTTATTTGTCCACAGCAATGTCAGAGGTCAAACAGGCAGTCGGGTGTCCAGCTAGGACTGTTGTGTTCTACCCGGTACCAATACAATTCCATGCTTCTCCATCCCTAGCAGCACCATCCAGAAGGTGGCCATAATAAATTCCTCCTCCTGGGCTCCCTTATCTGGGCTGCAACTCCAAGGTCCATGCAGAAGACAAGACTTTTACTCCTTATAAAGTGATTTCTTTGAATCTACAGGTTTACAGTCATATTCTGTTATCTGCAATGATTGCTCTATCTAAAGTGATTTAACGATAAATTAATTATCAGTAACATTCACATAACAATATCAGTATAATAACAAAGTCATGTTTAACAGACCTACTCCATATATTAAAGCTTCTTTCCGGAGTATTTCTCTTATCCGATGGCACCATCTAGTGCAGCGATGCTCAATAGGCGGCCCGCGGGCCCTCTCTTTGTGGCCACCAAACCCCGCGCACCCCCCCCACCCCCGACGTCCGACCGGGAGGTGTAGGATAGAGCTGAGGAAAATAATCAAATAATCGATGCATGAGATGCGGGCATAAACGATTCTGCATCATAGAAGAGTACCATAATCATTTATAGTGGAATGTAGTTTGGCGGCACCAGCGTAGCATCCACATCCATCAGAGCGGTGTTCTCCACATTTACCGGGTAGAAAACTTTGGTCCGCCTTTATGTGGTACTGCAGGGCTGAGCGCTGGAGTTGTAACCTGAGACCGAACCCGACCCGAATCAGCCCGATCGGTTCTGTTGGATTTGGGCTGGGGATTATGTTAATTGAGCGGGTTGTCACGCGGCGTGCTCCGCTCGCTCGATCAGCGACTGAGAGAGAGAGAGAGAGAGAGAGAGTCGCTCGATCAGCGACTGAGAGAGAGAGAGAGAGAGAGAGAGAGAGAGAGAGAGAGAGAGAGAGAGAGAGAGAGAGAGAGAGAGAGAGAGAGAGAGAGAGAGAGAGAGAGAGAGAGAGAGAGAGAGAGAGAGAGAGAGAGAGAGAGAGAGAGAGAGAGAGAGAGAGAGAGAGAGAGAGAGAGAGAGAGAGAGAGAGAGAGAGAGAGAGAGAGAGAGAGAGAGAGAGAGAGAGAGAGAGAGAGAGAGAAAACGCTCCTCCAAAAACGCATTATTATTTTCACAATTTCATTATTGTTTCTCCTGGAAGTGCTCAGTCAGACCGAGTGCTGAGGTGACGGGAGATCCGGTCTTGGGGAGGGGGCGGGGTCAGTAACGGCTGCTGCAGCATGATCATCTTATTTAGGGACACGGAGAAGTTAAAAGGAGAGAGAAATAGAAGATAGAAGTTCTTGTTCCACTTTATTCTTTTGTTTCATGATGATGAACTGATGTTAAATTCAGCTTAAAGAGAAACTGGGAGGAAGCTTTGGTTCATTTTAGTTTACAGGAGATCTTGTCTCCTATCTGCTCCTCCAGAGACAGCATGGACATGAGGGTTACATGGTGAGGGTCCCACAGGACAGGTTAGTGCAGTCACACAGCCGAGCAGGAGGGGGACAGGCGCCCTTCTTTATATTGCAAGCTTGTGTGTTATGTGCATTACAGCCAGTGATCCAAATAGCAGCAGCAGCCCCCCCCCCCCCCACCCCACCCTCTTGCTTCTGGGTCTTTTTTGTGAGTGGCCCTCGGACAAACATTTCCATCCACACCCACTGGTGTAACCACTGGAGTTACCCAAGGTTCTGTCCTTGGCCCCCTACTATTCATAATCTTTCGCTTCCTCTAGGTCTATCTTTCGAAATTCCAATGTAAACTTTCACTGTTATGCAGATGACACTCAGTTATATATCTGCACCACTCCATCTTCCCTGCTTCCACCACTTTCAGTGTAGAGAAAGTTCACTGTATTTGTGAACTAGTTCAAAGTTCAGTTCATGCATTTTAAAATGAACTAGTTCAGTTCAACGTTCATAATTAATATTTTTTGAACAAAGGTCATAGTTCCTAAAATGAACTAGTTCATAGTTCTTTTTTTCCAGCCACTATGCTGTAGTGAGATATTACCCTCAGAATCCTGGTTTATTCAAAATGTTGCTAGCCATTCAGTCCACACTCAAACCCAGCTGCAGCTTTTACTCCTACATATTCCCAAAAGCACAAGGAAAGATTTGCAGTTTGAATCTTTTTTAATAAGGAATTATTAAACATTCTGTGGTAGGAAACAAGGAACATACCTCCAAGTGCAATGTTCAAAAAGGCAAACCATTCAAACAAACTATTCAAGTCTTTAAAAGTGTACAACTATTCAACTCTAACTATTCAATTTTTTTGTCAATCTATTGTCTGACCTGTTTGCTCAATGAAAAAGTTTTACAACTTGCATCATAAAGTCCAACAACCAGCCCAAATTATTTTAGAAAAATAAAGTGAAAAGAAAAAACAGCCTAATAACTTTAATGGAGGCTTTCTTAGTCCATGGCAGTTTGGTCACCACTGAAAATGTCAATGTGCCCCTGTAAAGTGTTTTAGGAATTAAGGTTAGTTGATTGATTAATTAATTGATATAGCCCAAACAGGTCACGGAGATATTTAACATACCATAAAATCTTTTTGTTTGCGATCAGCTGCTTCTCGAAGCTGGCATCTCCCAGCCTGTGTCTCCTGGGCCAAAACAGGAAAGAACTAAAGAACATCATGACCATTATAAAATAATTTGACCAAAGAAATAAATGGATTTTATGATTGTTGAATATAACAGTTTATGATTACCTGAATATTAGGCCACCAATGCTGAAGAGCCTCTCTACTGGGGCGCTTGAGGGCAGTGCAGTGTTGTGCTTTATGAACAGCCTTTTGAGCTTTGGAAACTGCATATATTCGTCAAACCCATCTGTGGTTGGGGCATCCAAGTAGGTGTCTACTTCACCTTTTCCAGAAACCTGAGGTTTTCTGTGAAATCTAAAGAATGAAGCAGCAGGATCTTTCGTGTTTACTTCACTACTGGATTGGGCTTGACTGGAGTCTCCTGGTACTGAGTCGTCCGAGCTGAGGGTTTGAAATTCTCTCATTAGCATTAATTTGTAATGCACACGTTTCTCTTCATCTTGGACCCAGTCCAGCTTGAATCTTGTCACCAGAATAGCAGAGAGTATGTTCTCACTCTTCTCCAGAAGATCTCCCAGCCTCGTGGTCAGTGACTTCAAGATGCTCTCTCTATGAGGGGACGGCATGTAATCAGGCCCTCTGCAGCTGTGGGTTTCATGCTGTCATACAGCAGGTTATTCATATGGCACTGGAGCTGGACAATGGTTGGAGCCAGGTAGCCAAGAAAGATGTTCTTGTGTGCTTGAAGGATGTGTAATGCAAGTGCTAGGGGCCTCATCACATCTACAAAGTTGTGTATGAACTGGACTTCATGTGGAAGGAATCGACGTGTGTTTTTACGCTTTCTCCGAGACATGTCACGTCGCTAAGTTGTTAGCGCTGCGCGCTAACACGTCAATAGTGCAGCGTAGCCTGCTGGAGGTTTTAAGGGTTCAGATGAAACACCCAACCTCTCAGGCTGCTCACACATCGATCTTAAGTTGTTGCTGTTGCGCTCACGCCGTAATACAGTATTAGATGCGGTTAAAGTCAGAAATGAACAAATAAATAAATTTTACATGAATAAGTGATGCTTACCCTGGTGGGGGGAGGAGAACCTGGCCTACTAAGCACTGGAGGAAACCCTGTCAAGATCGTCAACACTGTTTATATTAATGCTACTGAAACATGTCAACCAAAAGGCATTATATCCACTGCTACCTTTCTCATTTTAAACTCAGTAACTTATGCTGTAACTTCACCTTGCCCTGCCTACTCCTCCTTGCTGCCTGCCGGCTGTGATCACAAGCGACAACATAGTAGTTCCCGCTGCTTCTTCGGGAAACAGCGCAAAAACAAAACAAACAAAAACTGTAGCTACAAACAGGTAAACAAAACTGTTTCTGTGTTTAAAAAAGAACGAAAGCATGAAAACAAACAAAAAACTTGGGATCTTGTAGGCGTGGCGGTGGGATTTCAGCCGTGGCGGGCCGCCACGGCTACGCCTATGTAAGGGAAACCCTGATTTACCAACTATTACTTCTTACATATAAGGCCATTCATAACCTTGCTCCCTCATATCCACACCCTCCCATGTACTTAGATCCTCTGCTTCCATCAACTTATACAATCCTCCTGCTTGACTTGTCCCCATGGGAAGCTGAGCTTTTAGTAGATCTACCCCGTCCCTGTGGAATTCCTTACCGGTTGAACTCAGGAACATCACATTCCATCATTTCAAAACTAAGTTTAAAACCCACCTGTTTAAAACTGCTTATTCAATG